AAACAAATTACTAAGCAAAGAACAAACAACTCCATTAAAAAGTGGGCAAAGGTGATGAACAGGCACTTTTTGAAAGAAGATATACATGTGGCCAATAAACATGAGAAAATGCTCAACATCTCTAATCATTAGAAAAATGCAAATCAAGTCACAGTAATATACAATCTCACATCAGTCAGAATGGCTATTATTAAAAAGCCAAAAAAAATAAGACATGCTGGTAAGGTTGCAGAGGAAAGGGAACGCTTATATGCTGCTGGTGGTCATGTAAATTAGTTCAGCCATTGTGGAAAGCAGTGTGGCGATTTCTCCAAGAACCTAAAACAGAAGTACCATTTAACCTAGCAATCCCATTATTGAGCATATACCCACAGGAACATAAATCGTTCTGTCACAAGACACATGCACACATATGTTCACTGCAGCACTATTCACAATAGCAAAGTCATGGAATCAACCTACATGCCCATCAATGGTAGACTGGATAAAGAAAATATGGTACATATACACCATGGAATACTATAGCCATAGAAAAGAATGAACTCATTTCCTTTGCAGCAACATAGATGAAGCTGGAGGCCATAATCATAAGCAGATTAATGTCAGGGAAAAGAAAACCAAATACTTGTTCTCACTTATAAGTGAGCTAAACTCTCACTTATAAGTGGGAGCTAAACCTTGAGTCCACGTGAACACAAAGAAGGGAACAACAGACACCAAGGCCTACTTGAGGGTGGAGGGTGGGGAGAAGGAGAGTGTCTGGCTTTGAAAATGATTTCTTCGGGAAACTGAAAATAACTGTTTTTTGTTTTGTTTTGTTTTACCATAAAAGTCCTAATTTCATTAGGTGTGGGAAATTTCATGGTGAGGCCTGTCTTTTGCTGTGAACTTTGTCCCAGTGTACTTGTTCTTCTATTTTAAAAAGGTTATTTCCTACTTGAACTTGATTCTCCTCTTTTAGCAGGAAAGTTCTCTTGTGTGTGGGAAATCTTAATAAAAATTTTTGTTATAAAACCATGGAGAAATAATAATTATTTCTTTATAATTTATCTGTTCTTTTTTGTTGTCTAATTTCAAATTATGAGAATCAGGCTTTGAATCTCAAACATTTGGTTTCCTAAGTCTTTTTAAAATGTTTAAAAAAATTTTTTAGAATAGTTTTATCTTTGCAGTTCCTGTATTTGATAATTGCCAAATAAACATTATTTTTACTTAAGCCTATAACATTTATCAACAATTCTCTTTTTATTGCATTAAACCAAAGATTATCTATTTCAGTGTAATATAGAAGAAAATGATTGGATTTTGAAATAAGCAGAGAGAGTATAGGAGATAATTAGAATTGGATTAGATTCATTCTTTTCCAGAAATGCTCTTAGAAAGTACTATAATTTATCTGCTTTTGCTGAACTGAATACTAGAGCAACTCCTGGGCCAGTTACTCCAATGGCTTGCTTTTCTGCTAATCTTTAACAAGGTTATTGCTATGAGTTCAGCTTTCCATGGAAGTATTTGGAAGTCCACTAATATAGTAATGAAACTAAATTGTTAAATCCAACATTTACTTAAATTGGTTAGAAATGTTGCATATTTAACTTTCTGTCTGAGAAAAGTTCATGCCTGGTGAAAAAGGAGAATTAAAACTATGTATATAGTTCTGTAAATGTTTTTATACTGTTACAGAATGGCTTGTGTTACTCTTGTTAAGTACCTTATTTCCTGGATTTTCAGTTATTTTTGAATCAGATATATTACCTGATGATTTGCTCAATTTTCATTAAAAATAGGATCATTAGCATATTTTCTTTGTTATATTTATACACAATATTTTAATAATCAGTGTGAACTGCCTCAGCAACCCGATTTGCTCTAAGAAAATGAGATTTGTGTTTACAGTGTCAGCTATAATCTGATTTTCAGTTTGTCTGAACCCAGTGTTTAACACAATTTGAAGTTCACTACTCAATTCTCTAGAGGTTCGGCAGAACATAGAAATGAAGTTTGGGGCATACAATCGCAAAGAGATTTGGCTGGGAATGCGAATTTTTCTACTTTAAAATTTTTCAGGTTGGGCACGGTGGCTCACGCCTGTAATCCTAGAATTTAGGAAGGCCAAGGCAGGAGGATTGCTTGAAGCCAGGAGTTCGAGACCACCCTGGGCAACATTCCAAGACCCAGTCTCTATAATAAACTAAAACAATTAGCTGAGTGTGGTGGCTCATGCCTGTGGCCCCAGCTACTCCGGAGGCTGAGACAGGAAAATTGCCTGAACCCAGGAGGTTGAGGCTGCAATGAGCTATGATCACACCACTGAACTCTAGTCTGGGCAGCAGAGTGAGGTCCTGTCTCTAAATGGTATTAAATTAATAAACAAATAAAGGAAAAGAATAAATTTCTCAGAGGCCAATAACTTACTCCTCCCATCCCCTCACCTCCAACCCTGGATACTTAAAAATTTCTTGTTACTAAGATGTCCCTAACAGAGATTAGTCTATTCATACCTTTGGGCCAAATTTCCTCCCCACTTCTAATTTGGTAGTAACCTAGACCTGAGTCAAGATCAGCTTCTTGTAAAGATGGTTTTGCAGGGTAATATGACCCTTGATGCTTTCTTCTTCGATGGCTGGTCCTTGAATATTTAGAGGTGATAGGCTCAATTAACTATTAATACCAGCTCCTGCTCTGCTTGTTACTTTATCTCCACTGAGAGGCCGCTTTCATACTGAGGGCTACTCAGGGCATTAGCCAGGGGAAACTGATCTAGAAGTTGACACATGGCTATCTGGAATGTGATGAAAATTTCTCTCTCTCTCTCTACTTTCCTATAGTGAGACTGGGATATCTCATTCCCAATATCCCATGAGATTAAGACAATCTTTGGTCAAATAAAGAATTGGAGACTTGGTTAGCATAATAACACAGGAAAATTGTGGAGATGACAGTTTATCTTGCAGATGGTCCACTCTTAACAAAGGGAAGGATTTAAAGCTTTCTCCTACAAATACACAGTAAGAACATGCTAACCCTCAGTCTCACTATAGGGTCAGGGACAATGGGCTCTTCATGAGTGCAACAGGGACACCTAGGCCAGAGAGATAGAAAAGATCAGGGAAATCATGGGTTTTGGGGAGGTGAGAAAAAGGAGGGACCAGCGAGAAGGGATTTCTGAAGTGGATTCTGTAGGAACTGAAGTGCACCCTATGGAAAAGATAAAGAGGTATTTTTAACTACTTTCTGGGGTAGTGTACATTCATGATCAGTAAGTTGGTTTCATTTCTGATATAGAACTGCACCTGTACATACTTGTAGCCATTGTAGGCAAAACTGAGGTTAAATGGTTAAATACAAATATGGGAAATTCTTGCCCTGGTTGAAAACCAAAGCTACTGATAGGACCCATGTTTTCTGGGTTTTTTTGGTGGTGGAGTAGCAACTCTGGAGTCAATATCAACAAGTTTTCTTATGTGAGTCAAGAAATTAATTCCTTTTTGTTTTTGAAAAATCACATTTGGAAAATGTGTTTTGTAGATAGTCGGGATCCGTAATCAGATTATGCAATAGGTAAATAGTGTAGAAGACTCATCCCAGATTTCAAGGAGAAATTCTGCTTCTGGGGATTGTCTATCAGTCTAGGAGCAAAAGTATAATAGGTCTGCTTGAAGCCATCCCTAAGCCAATGTGGCCTAAAATGTAGTTTCTGGAATAAATTCATCAGGAATACCACATGTATTTATTAAAATGCATATCCCTGGACCCTAAACTAGAGGCCAGGAATATACATTCTTGCTGATTACTCATGCTCAGTATGTCTGAGAACCTCTGCTAAAGCAATGCTGATCAGGTTTACCCCGCGTTCACCCACCTCCCTTCTCCCATTTCCCATCTCTCAATACAATCAGCCTTACTTTAAGGAGATCCTTGTGTGTCTGTGAACTTCTGGATGGTGAAAATGGTGATTCTCATGTTTGCTGTGATTTCTAACATCTATAATTGTGCCTTCCAGATACAAGAGTATTTGATGAGGATTTGTTGAACTAGTTGAATTAAATTGAGAACTAGCATTACAGTCATACTCATGAGACAGCTAGAGCTATTTGTCTGAGTCCTGCTGTACCAGAACAGTAAGAACTAAGGACCGAAGTCTTCCTCACAGTTAGTGCCTAGCTGCTCCCTTTGAGTGGGAAATAGTTTATTTGAGGGGGTTGAGTGGAAAAGGAATATGATCTGATTTCTTTTATTCCATTAATTACAGGGCAGATTTCCGTTGCCCATTCTCCATTATTCCTGCCAGTGTTTTGCACTGTTCACAGCACATTGGTACAATCATAACAGAAGATTGTATTTTGCTTTGGTTTTAGTCTTGTTCCTAAGGGAAAAATCAGTGTTGTGTTTTTTCCCAGGGAGATGCTGTATCAGGACACTTTTCCCAAAGGACTGCAGCTTTGATTCACCCATTTTTAATTTTTTTTTATTGCTTTAGTTTTATTTCCTTTCTATCCTTGCTAATGTTAATAAAATGCATGCCATAAAGAAATCAACTCCTGAGGACATGAAAGGACAGACCTCATGGCTATTTACTCTGCTGACGGCTCCTGCTCTTTAGCTCCTGCTAAAGACCCGCGCATTCACCAGTTTGAAACTGGCCCTCTGTGACAGCTTTCTGTTCACAATAGAGCTGCATACTAAATGGGGTCGGTGCCGCCCCTCCCTTGCAGTGTGACAAATCTCTGGTAAGAGGATAATGCTAAGTTCTTTCACCATCTGTCTAGTTTTGTTTTCTTCCCTCCCCTACTGCTACCAGAAATGTCTAAAAACACAGTATTCTACAGCTGCGTGGTTTACGTGACGATTGCTGTCCGAAGGGAAAACATGCAGTGTTTGCTCCTGAACATTTCCTTTAATTTGTTTCCTTCCAATACAAACATTATAGTATACAGTCAAATGCATGAACTTGAACTTGAGTTTGTCACCTAGAACACTACTTGGGATCGGACTTTACCTGGATGACACCTAATAAACTTTTATTGTTTTCTTACTGGGAATCTTTACAAATTCTCATCAGAGACCACAGGAGGGACGTCATCAGTAGAGAAAACTGGGGCTTCTGGTAAACATCCTGGAGGGTCCTTGACCTCTTGGGGAGGATGGGGACTCCGCTCAGCTTCCAGCTGCTGAATCTTCCTTTCCTTTTCCTCCAAAACTTCTTTCAGCTGAGTGATCCTCTCAGTCTGAAGGGAAACCTGGGTCGACAGTTCCATTATCAGGCTAATTTTTCTATCACCTTCTTCCACAGGTGGGAGACCTCCACAGAACCCTTCCAGCGAGCTGTCTTCTAAAGCAAACAAGAAAAGGAAAGTCTGAGAAGTTTTGATTAGATTTCCCAGAAGCTGAAGAGAAGAAAAATGAAAAAGCTTCATTTCTCACGTTCTTGAAAGAGAGCACAGATGTTGCGTCATCTGGTTAGATACCCTGAGAATAAAATCTGGATCCAGTGAGAGGAAAGATTCTGGGTGCTCATGAAAAAAGAAACAAAACAAAACTTGGGAGCCTCTTGAGAGTGTTCAGAATCAGCCTTTGCCAACTCTTGTTTATATGCATTTAACTTTCAATTAACCATGGGAATGATTCATCCATCCATGAAAATCCAATCTACAAACAACAGCCATCCCAAATTTCATATTATTCTTTTCCCTCAGAATCTTTCACAAGAGCTATGATCGAGTAGAATTATGCTTTGATTTGAATTTTAATTCGATTAAAATAAAAAATGAGATTTGGGCACAGAGGCTCACGCCTGTAATCCCAGCACTTTGGGAGGCAGAGGCAGGCGGATCACAAAGTCAGGAGATCGAGACCATCCTGGCTAACACGGTGAAATCCCGTCTCTACTAAAAATACAAAAAATTAGCCAGGCGTGGTGGCAGGTGCCTTTAGTCCCAGCTACTCGGGAGTCTGAGGCAGGAGAATGGCATGATCCCGGAAGGCAGAGTTTGCAGTGAGCGGAGATCATGCTACCGCACTTCAGCCTGGGCGACAGAGCAAGACTCCGTCTCTAAATAAATAAATAAATGAATAGCGAAAAGTTTGCCATGCCCTTTCTGGGGCAAGCGATAATGAAGAAAGACCAGTTTCTTAACCCAAGTCAGCTTTAAAGTCGGCAAGGGTGCAATTTGAGGTGATCCAGGAAAACTCTATTAGCATGGTATTTCCCATACAGATTCATTTCTTTTAGGCCTGAAGTCTTTTTGGCACTTCTTAATAAAATCACAAATACCTCTTGGACATGAAAGCTTATCCTTTATCAATTTCTATCAGTTAACCCCTCAGATGAGGATAAAGGCCTGAGTAATTAAGGACAGAAGTTCCAACAAAGAGATAAAAGATGAGTGGCCATAAGGAGTCCTTGAAAACACACCTCTCTAGCCCATCAAAAAATGTAGCTCCTTAAACTCAAGTCCATCTTACTAGCCTTTAGCAGTACCCTACCACTGTAGAAATTTCCAGCATTAAATGTCTCTGAGCTATATAAAAGGCAGACAGGTGTAAGTAGGAAGAGATGTCAAGGGCTTGGGTATTATTTCAGCACTAATGGAGCTAATGGCATGTATGAATGAACCTGATGCATGGTCTCCATGGTAGATTGTTACAATTGAGGTCCTGAATTTATGAGATTCCCAGTGAAAATAAATCTCACGGCTTCACCTGAGAGAAACATTACTGTCAGTCTCAGATACAAAAGCCTGCTATTATTGGGTTCCTACACACCTGCTGAAAATGGACCACCTTTGGTGTAGTAGTGCATGCAGGCAAAAGAGCATAAAAATAACCCATTTCTCAACAAATAAAATTAATTGACAGTCATCACGTTCCCAAGGGATCAAGGGGTAAAATCTTTGGCAGCACATTGCATAGTGGGCAGGGTGCTTTTGGCTTCACAAAAGTGTTGAGAGGAGACAGACATCAAGCTATTCTCTGCTCTTAGAAATTATTGGCACCTTACTAACATTTAAGAACCCGTGGGGAAATTTTTGTTCTGAATTTCTGTTAGAATATTTAAAATTATAACAATATTTAAGATATTGGTTTGAAGGTGGGGCATGGTGGCTCACACCTGTAATCCCAGCACTTTGGGAGGCTGAAGCAGGTGGATCACTTGAGATCAGAAGTTCAAGACCAGCCTGGCCAAATAGTAGAAACCTCATCTCTACTAAATAGATGAAACCTCATCTCTACTAAAAACACAAATATTAGCTACGTGTGGTGGTGCACACCTGTAATCCCAGCTACTCAAGAGGCTGAGGCTCAAGAATCGCTTGAACCCGGGAGGTGGAGGTTGCAGTGAGCTGAGATTGCGCCACAGCACTCCAGCCTGGGCAACAGAGTGAGACTCCATTTCAAAAAAAAAAAAAAAAAAGATGTTGGTTTCAGTACCTTTCATAAGTTAACAAGCAATGGGAAAACATCTCAGATTTCAAAAGAGCATTCAGTTCATTGCCTCTGGGATAAGCCTGTGTTTTCCAGCCTAGGAGAGGGAGTCCATATGGCAGGAGGCCTTTCTCATCTCCAGATATGCCAAAGTCTCACCTTTCCTTTCATTTGGCTGGAGCTGTGCTGTCCAATACAATAGTCACTAGTCACATGTGACCATTAAGCAATGGAATGTAGCTAGTCTGAATAGAGATGTGCTTTAACGTAAAATACACAGTTGACTGGAAGATTTTAGTTTAAAAAATGTTAAATACTTCAAATTTTCTATATTGCTTATGCATTAACATATTTAGAATATATTGTATTAAAGAAAATGTATTTTTAAAATAATTTCACTGACTTATTTTTATGTTTTAAAAAATGTGGCTCCTAAAAAATGTAAAATACATGGCTTGCATTTGTGGCTCCCATTATATTTCTGTTGGATAATGTGTTGGGCTAGCATTTCCTTCCAGATGAGCACTTTCTGAAACCCAGGTGGATATATTACCTGGAGATGGCTCTAGTTAACCTGCACAGATATTATTTGAGAGGGAGGATTTCTGGTCCTCAACCATTGGCACAGAGATCATTTTTCTGTCACCCCAGAGGATGGAGTCATGGAAATGAAAGTTTGATAAAAAGTGATGACTGCCAATTAATTTTATTTACCGAGGAATGGGTGATTTCTTGCCTGAATGCACTACCACAGCAAAGCTGCACCACCTTAAGCAGGTGTGTAGGTATCCAGGTAGCAGGCTTTTGTATCCGTGACTGACAGTGATGTTTCTCTCAGTCCCTAAGCTACTCCTTAAACTACATAAGAAACTGATTCAGATGGGTTGAAGCGAGTTTCATCAGAAGTGGGAGAAAAAAAATGGCAGCAAAGTAGCCAGGGAAGATGCCAAGGAGGGGAGCAGTGAGCAGCAGGGGATGCAGGGCCTCGGCAGGGGTCAGGGGGCAGGGGTGGAGGGGGGTGCATTGGAGCCTCACTGTGCCTGTCTGACATCTTCCTCTTTGACTTCTCCTTCCATGTTTTCTCTCCCCAGTTTTTCCTCTGCTTTTAGAATGAGTTGTTTTTAGTGGATGTGTACAATGAAGAAAAAGGAGTTTAGTGCCACCCCTGGTCAAACTGGTCAAAAAGTTTTTAGACAATGCAATATAGGTAGAGTTCATCCAGCTCTAATGATACAGCAGCAAAAATGCAGCAAAGTGGCATTGCATAGACAGTCAGGGTCACTAGCACCACATCCTCCTTCTGGAATAGAGTATTACAGCGAGACAGTAGAAAGAAAATGAGAGGAGAAGCGGGTGTCTAGGCAGCTCGGGCTGTTATCACAAAGTACCACAGATGGGGTGGCTTAAACAAGAAATATTTATTTTTTATAGTTCTGGGGGCTGCAAGTCTCAGATCAGGGTGTCAGGATGGTCAGGTTCTGGTGAGGACTCTCTTCCTGGCCACCTTTATGCTGCGTCCTTATGAGAGGTGACAATGTGCTAGCAGCCCTCACTCTCAGCACCTCCTCAGCCTCAGCGTCCACTCTGGTTGC